GTTCTCTTGAACATTCTTCTTCTTCTTCAGGAAACAAATATGAACACTTTGTTTTCAAAGCAATCATACCAGTTTCTGGTTAAGCTAAGGATTGAATGCAGGTTTTCTTCATATAGATATCTCACTGTTAGCTATTAGAGTAACCCTTCTGAAACCTGAGTGTTTCAGATGAGCCTGTGGATACACTCCACATTCAATTAGTTATTCCCAAGACAGCAAGCACACATTTATTGTGATAAATTATGATGTGTGATCAGTTTAGTTAGGGCTTAATGTCAATCTAGCCATTGCATTTGGTAAGCCATGGTACAAAGTATAACTCCAAACATTAGACGCCTCAAAGAAAGCTATGATTGCGTGAATATATCACATTAAAGAATGTATTGCATTAATTATGATTTATTCAACCAACCAACCAATCCAACTCATACATAATGCTAATCCATAAATCACAATTTACAGACTGTAAAGTGGCTGGAATCACAAATTAAACTAATGTGTTTATTGTAATGTACTGTTTGAAGCAGCTTAATTGCTAACACCTCATGGAGAGGGGAAGGGAGGTATCTTTTCACTGAAAATGAAATATGCCTTGATTCAGAGACACCATGAATTCATGAAATTGGATGGGCTTTATCATTTTGACTAATAGCAATAGCACTTAGACTTATATACCGCTTTACAGTGCTTTACAGCTCTCTCTAAGCAGTTTACAGAGTCAGCCTATTGCCCCCAACAATCTGGGTCCTCATTTTACCCCCCTCGGAAAGAAGGAAGGCTGAGTCAACATTGAGCCTGGTGAGATTTGAACTGCCAAATTGCAGTCAGCTGGCAGCCAGCAGAAGTAGCCTGCAATACTGCAATCTAACCACTGCGTCACCGTGGCTCTTCCCTAATATTTGGCTATCTGTCCATTCCATTCCTCCTTCTGCAACAAGCTGGTTATATGCCGTGTTCCTGCTGGGTTAAGTTACATTTTCCCAAATTGGATAATCCTGAAATGGGTTGGATTCTCAAATTCCTAGTTATTGTGCCATGGCTGGCTAAGAATTCTGGATACCATGACTCCAATACATTGCTGTATTAGGCTGGGAAAGATTACTTTAAGCTAGGTTTGTGTTTGGTTTATTGAGTGACTAATAATTAATTACAACCAACTAGCCAAAATCCATCAAATCACACTTCAGCTTGGGTTGATGTATAAACTTCATTCTGCATACACATGTCCTCTTCACCTCTTCAAATCTCAAAGAAAAATCATCTTTTCAGCAATCAAAACATTGCTGAAAAATATCCAAATACATTTGGACCCTTCAAGCAATCAAAACATTGCTGAAAAAAATCCAGATATATTTCCAACGCCTTCAACTTTGGGAGAGGCAAACCCCCCACTGACTCCATCATTAATGGGAACAGAAGCAGGAGTCCAAAGCAAGCAAACAAAGAAGAATGGGAATTATTCTATTGCTTTGGGGGATTTGATACTCTTCACTGCGCATCTTTTCTTCTTGCAAACCAACAGGACAGACTAGACAGCTGTAGGGAATCCCATTTTCCCAAGCAATTTCTCTCTGTGCAACATTTGGCTTGGCAGCCAACATTTAAAATCCTACCAACAAAACTGTGTTAATCCTACCCTGATTCTTAGTGGGCTTAATACCAGCCAGAAGAGAGATTCTTGGAAGCCAAACTGACTGCACACTCCCTATTCCTGGTATTTGGCAAGTTCAAACTCCTGTTAAATTCCTGTAGGAGACTTAGTTTTCATCAAACACCTGCACCAACTGTTTATTCCAATATAATAGCTCAATACTAAAGGCAATCTTATGGAAGTGGATTGAATCAAGAGAAGCTGAAAGGTGATTTTTGTGAACGTGTCTGACAACACTCTGCAAGCAGGGTTAGTCCAATAAACTCGGCAATACAGTAAAAACACATATCCGCTGCTTATCTCTTCTTTTAAAGTCTGCTCCAAAGAAAGATAAATCCCCTGGCTCCATACGTTACATATTTACGTTGCTCCTTTCCTTTTTCTTTAAACAACACTGTGATTTGTATCCTTCTGCACAATTTACTCCAGCTTCTACTCATTAGCCAAGAAGTACATAAGCCTTGACCAGAGGTAAGTGACAGTGGGCCAGAAAAGCTCTTAAGACTCACTTCAAATGTTGGCAGAACAAACAGGCAACATTTTCTGACCAAAGAAGATATAAAATCAGCGCAGTAAGTCCCTGATAAGTTTTATACATCTATTTTAGTCAGGCCACAGCTACCATAAAAATGATAAAGCACTCACCCGCCCCCAAAAAACTAGCTCTCCGCAGAGGCACCACTGTTTCAGTATTCTCAGGGATTTGATTTGATTTGATTTGATTTGATTGATTGATTGATTGATTCGATTTATATGCCGCCCTTCTCCGGAGACTCAGGGCGGCTTACAATGCGTTAAGCAATAGCCTTCATACTTTTGTATATACCTGCTTAGTAGGGTTTTTGCCCCCCCAAGTAGTGTTTTATTTTATACAAAGTCAGCTTATTTCCCCCACAATCCGGATCCTCATTTAACCTACCTTAGAAAGGATGGAAGGCTGAGTCAACCTTGAGCCTTGGCGAGATTTGAACTTGCAGTAATTGCAGGAAGCTAAGTGCTACTTAATAGCACTTACTCTGCTGGACCACCAAGGCTAAAAAAAACCCTAGCTCTCTGCAGAGGCACCACGGTTTCCGTATCCTCAGGAGTTACAGTGTGGTTTTAAAGAAGGAAAAGGGACATTGAATTTTCCCTGTATCTAAAAATCCATCTGGGATTCCAGTAGTCTGACATTAGGCAGGTAATGCAGACTTTGCCTTAACTCCGTGATGGAGAACCTATGGCTCGAGGTGGCACCCAGAGCCATCTTTCTGGGCACACGAGCTGTTGCCCAACTCACCTGCAGCTGTGCATGCGCGCGCACCCCAGCTGGGGTTTGGGCCTCCGGTGTGCATGCGCGCAATTCAGGGGACTCAGCTGGTATTTGGAGCTCTCCTGTGCATGCGTGCGCATTTGCGCATGCCCACAAGAGTCCTTGTGTGCAGCATGCGAGAGACGGCATTCATGCCTGTGCATTGTGCGCACAAAAAACACGTGCATGCGCAGATGGTGCGATTGCACATGCAGCACATGGGGGAGCAAATGTCGTGTGCATGCACAGATGGTGTGGTTGTACATGCAGTGCACGGGGGCATGCGCAAAAGCCATGCACATGCGCAGATGGTGCGGCTGTGCGCGCAGCGCACAGGGAGGAGCCGTGCGTTAGCAGGAGCGCACGATGCGTGGGCAAAGCACTTGAAGTGCGTACCTGTTCGACACTCGGTGTGTAAAAGCGCTCCATGGCTTAGGGCCTGGTTACTTACGAGACCACCTTCTGCCTCCGATAACCTCCCACCAGCCAACACGCTCCCACAGAGAGGGCCTGCTCAGGGTGCCGTCTGTCAGGCAATGTCGGCTGGTGACCCCCTGGGGAAGAGCCTTCTCTGTGGGGGCACCTGCCCTCTGGAATGAGCTACCCCCAGGGATACGACTGATCCCGGACCTCCGGACCTTCCGCCGGGCCCTGAAGACTTTTTTATTTCAGCAAGCCGGGCTGGGTTAAAAATCTTTTAATTGGGGAATTTTACGGGTAAGGGGTTTTAAATTGGGGAAGCCAAAGATAAATTTAATTTTGTTTTAATGTATTTTAATATTTGTATTGTATGTTTTTAATTTTGGCTGTTCACCGCCAAAATCTCCTTCGGGAGAGGGGGCGGTATAAAAATTTAAATAATAAATAATAAATAAATAAAATAATAAAAGGTTCGCCACCACTGCCTTAACTGCTATCTTCCATATTGCTGGATTGCCCTTCCCATCATCTCCACGCAGAGAAACGTGGTCTAAAGAATTCCCCTGAGATCTCATTAATGTGAAACCAAAATAGCAATGATTTATTCTTATACAGGTAGTCCTCAAGTTACAACCACAACCGAGACCAAAATTTCCATTGCTGAGGAAGACGGTGGTTAAGTGAATTTTGCCCCATTTTACAATTCTGTGTCTTTCTTGACACAGTTGTTAGGTGAATCTGGCTTCCCCGTTTGATTTTGCTTGTCAGAAGATCGCAAAAGGTGATCACATGTCCCCAGGAAACTACAACCGTCATAAATATCAACCAGTTGCCGAGCATCCAAATTTTGATCACATGACCATGGGGATGCTGCAATGGCCGTAAGTGTGAAAAATGGTCTTAAGTCACTTTTTTCAATGCCGTTGTAACTTCAAACAGTCACTAAATGAATGGCTGTAAGTGGAGGATTACCTGTATCTTCCATATTGCTGGACTACATTTCCCATCATCCCAGGCAGAAAAACATGATCTAAAGCAGGGGTGTCAAACTCACGTCATCACGGCAGCATCACGTGACATATCAGAACTTCCCCCCCTTCGCTAAACCGGGCATGGGTGTGGTCAGCGCATGACGCATCCAGCTCATGGGCTGGGAGTTTGACAGCCCTGATCTAAAGAATCCCATTGAGATCCCATTAAAGCCAAAGATTTAGTCTTATATTTTTCTGTAAACACCAGAACAGTTTTATTGTCAAGTCTTGGGCTGTTTCTGAATCAGTTGCGTTTCCAATTATCCAATTTGAATTGCTCTTATTTACATTAGATGTCTTACAGAACACATAGTACGGATTCTGTGCATGAAACTCAAGTTTCCTTACAACCATGAGCGCGATTAAATTTTGGATTAGAAAACTAGATGAATTTTGCTCACTATGAAAGAATACAGAGAATCAAATCAATCCATTTCCAAGCATTAGAAGCTACATTGTCAATCAAATGACTAGAAGAGTTTCAAGACAAACAGAAGGAAGCACGGTAAAACTGCTAGGAGCTGTAATTTACCAACATCTGGAAGGTTTCACTATGAGCATCCATATCACCCATATCAATCCTGAAGTATCCTTCATCACATCTTACCTTGCACCACCAATATCCACTCCAACCATTAGCTGGCCATTCAGCGAAAGGATCTCGTCTCGCAAGCGAACTTTTCCACATTTCCCTGCCGGACTATTTTTTTTCAAATCAGTGACCCAAATGCTTCCAACATCAAGGACTGGGCCTTTATGTCCCCTTTTTCTTCTCCCCATTCTCCGTTTTTCACCATAATCCCCAAAAGCAGGGATATTGCCAAAACTTAGGCCGAGAGGCTCCGTCGTTTCTGGATCCTTGGTTAAGTAAACCGTACAGATTTCCATATCCACCGGACTGGGGCTGTAATGTAGCTTGCCTTCTTCCACTGGAAAGTTCAACTGGATGTACTCTCTCAGCTTCTTAATGGCTGAATGACAAAGGCTCTGCTCAGGTTCCTCGGCTTCCTGTTTCAGATGGCCCTGCAACCACCGATAAAGGATGGGAAGAAACAGCATCGCGTTTTCTGGAGTGATGGGCATTGTGGTCGTGCCAGGATTCCATTATGTCAAGAAATGATTCTTCTTCAACTGAGTCAAATCAATGTTCCTTTCCAAGCCAAGATTGTCGTGTGGTTCATTCATCTTGATAGGACCAAGAAAATGCAGGAAAAAGACACACAAGGACAGCGAAAACTAAATAATAATAATAATAATGGCCTCTTCTTCCACTCCCAATTTGGCCAGGACAACAGAGGGCCTTTATGAAAAAGAAGGAAGACTGTTGCTCTGGAATCCACAGCAAGAGAACAAAGGAAGAGACCAGAATTCCATGCTTGTCTCCTTTCACAGCTGTCCACACAGAAATGTATGATCACCAGCCTGGAATTTCTCCTCCGCACTCATCAACACCTGCTTGACCTAGAAAAAGGGAAACGGCCCAATTAGAACCATAAATCTGTTTCAGATGCAGGATTAGAAGCTTATCTGCCGTGCTTAATAATGAGAAGATTTTTTGCCTAAGATTATTTTGTTTATTGGTTAATTCTATAATCTGTTCATTTTGCTTTCTGTTAACTTATGTGGGTTATTCATTATTTACTACGAGGACTGCGGGCAGAAAGAAGAGAAGGCATCAAAGACAAATTTCTAATTATGCAGATAGTTTCGTAGCAGAGGCACATTTTAGAGTTAACCTCTTCATCTACATAGAAAAAAGGGAGGGAGGGAGGAAGGGAAGGGAAGGGAAGGGAAGGGAAGGGAAGGGAAGGGAAGGAAGGAAGGAAGGAAGGAAGGAAGGAAGGAAGGAAGGAAGGAAGGAAGGAAGGAAGGAAGGGTCTTGTATGTCTTTTAATCTTGACTATTTATGCTGATGAGAAGCTCAAATTGCCCTTGTTTTTCATTTGGTACAGTGGTTAAGATGCTGGCCCAGAAACCAGAAGTCTGTGAGTTCTAGTCTTGCCTTAGACATGAATGCCAGCTTGGGTGACCTTGGGCCAGTTCTTCTCTCTCAGCCCTACCCACCTCATGGGATAGTTGCTATGGGGAATAGTAGATGGAAAGAGTATTATGTATGTTTTCTGCCTTGAATAGCATATAATCTAATAAAAGTGAGATAAAATCTAGTAAGTAAAAATATTCTTTAAAAAACTAAAACTAAGTTTAGATACCAACAAATGTTAACATTTTGTCCAAGATTCAAAGTTTTTAAAAGTTTTTAAAAGAGCTACCAGAGCATCTCAAGAAAATGCTGCCTTTTGCCAGGTTCATCCATTGTACTGAATCACAAAAAAAACTTTGTTTCACTTCGGTTCAATGTGTGGTTGAATACCCAGACATTCTGATTTTCAGGCAATTGATTATGGATTAGTGTGACGTGCAAACCAAGCCATTCACACATTTCACTATGCTATGATTTGAGAATTTCTGCCCTAGACAAGAGGCTGAATTAGAAGACCTCCATGGTCTTTTCCAACTCTATGATTGCATGATCAATCATGGTTTATTGAGAGGCTACAATTGGGTTTGAACCAGTGGTGGATTTCAAAATTTACCACTGGTTCAGTGGGCGTGGCTTAGTGGGTGTGGCTTGGTGGGCGTGGCAGGGGAAGGATACTGTAAAATCTCCATTCCCTCCCCACTCCAGAGGAAGGATACTGTAAAATCTCCTTTCCCTCTCCACTCCAGAGGAAGGATACTGTAAAATCTCCTTTCCCTCTCCACTTCAGCGGAAGGATACTGTAAAATCTCCTTTCCCTCTCCACTCCAGGGGAAGGATACTGTAAAATCTCCATTCCCACCCCACTCCAGGGGAAGTGGGGCAAAATCCCCATTTCCTCCCAATCAGCTAGGACTCGGGAGGCAGAGAATAGATGGGGGCGGGGACAGTCAGAATTTTTACGACCGGTTCTCCGAACTATTCAAAATTTCCGCTACCGGTTCTCCAGAACTGGTCAGAACCTGCTGAAACCCACCTCTGGTTTGAACCCTAAGTCATATGTCATGACAGACAAACTGTATTGCTTAGATTTGCATTATAAATTAAGCCAAAATACAAAAATGCTACATTACTGGTTGGCTTGGTTCACTGTACAAACTCAGTTATTTAATAATGACAGTTTTCAAGTCATACTTGTTCTCTTTTTTCATTATTATTAATTAACATGCCATTCAACTCTCAGTAATTCTTAATTATTGTTAATGTTAATGACTGAACAGTTTCATAAAAGTATATGATTTTCTTCCAAGTCTCTAATTGTTCTATTCTGTGGCTAGATTCCTAATCCAGTGTCTGTAAAAATAATGAATGGCCTAAAAAAATCTACCCAGTTGGTTTTGAGTCTGAAAAATGATGTTCTATATAGATATCTTATGAAGTCAGAATTGTCATCAAATCTATCTTAAAATGATTTCTTAAGAAGGGTGGAGTGAAATATTCAAACAACAATATTATACAAATATTTTTCCGGATTCACTTATCAAACCTGTCCTACAACATTTTGGGATATCCTGATTACATGCTAACTTTTGTTTCATTCCCTAACAAATTGTGCTTTTCCTTCCTTATATGTCCTTCCCAATGGAATTTCTAAAAAGCCCTCAAGACCCATTTCCTGACTTCTACAAAAAGAAATAAAAGGATAATTAAAAGAACTCCATTTGAAACTTTCAGATGTGGTTTTCCATTATCTTCTTTAGACGCTGTTTTTAAAGGCCTCACACTAGACATTCTCCAGTCCCATCCAAACAGTGTTTTATGACTTTCCATTTGCTCAAAAAAGCATATCATATTTTTATTTGTCTTCAATGTGAGTGGAAATAGAGCATTATCAAAACATTTTTATCCAGTTTATTTTAATAAGTGTGTTGTTTTTTTTAAATCCTCATTAAAATGAGACAAGATTTTGGCATTTCGTAGCCTTAAAAAGTCTAACAAATTGAACTGGATAACAGCTGGCCCATCTCAACATCAGGTTCATAGATGGCCCACAATGAACAAACATCTGAAGTTGAATGAGGTTGTTATTGTGAGAAGGCAAGACCCTCATATCATTCTTGTCACCAAGACCACTCACCAATCCTGATCATTGCTTACCCAACAGTGAACCCCAATCTGTAAAACCAGAGACTGCTTAAGCTTTTCCGCTTATATCAGGGGCGTCAAACTCAAGGCCCATAGTCCAGATCTGGCCTGTAGGGTGCTTAAATCTGGCCTGTAGGGCTGGCCTGGAAATAGCAAAGGACCAACCCCGATTCTTCTGGCAGCCAAAACGGGGCACATGGGGGCCATGTGCAGCTTCCCAATGCCCCATTTTCAGCCTGGACAACCTGCAGCACTCTGCCAGCCAAAACACGTCCCGTTTTGGCCGGCAAAATGCTGCAGGCCGCCCAAGCTGAAAACGGGGCATGGGGAGGCCGTGCGCGGGGGCCCCCCTCACCCTATTTTGGCCAGCAGGGTGCTGCAGGAGGCATTCGTTTCGTCTGCCCTCCCCCCCTCGGCTGGCCCGTGGAGAAGAGCTACAATGCTGATCCAGCCCTCGAAGAAATCCAGGGGTTTGACACCCCTGGCCTATATTGACACTTGGGCTAAAACTGAGTATTTAGTCTCTCTCTAGGAAATTGGCAAATATCCTGAACAATTGAATCAAAACCATTAAAAAATCCCCTCAAGATATGAAAATCCTTTATGTATACAATAAGATTCCTCAGACCTGGAGCTATCACTTGGGGTCAACATCTCGTCACACAGAGGTGAAGTTTTATTCACCTCTCAGGGTGAGAAAACTTCATTTTCTCCCTACTGGACTCAGTTCAACCTGCCTCCCCCTCCCCGGACTTTCCTATAAAGATTTCTAGCCTGCCCTTCAATCTGTGACCAATTTTGAATGCTAAGCAATCCATTTTGCTTTCAATTAAATTCTACCTCCACTTCTAACAGTTGCCCTGTGCTCTTTAACCTGGCCCAGAACAAACCAGGATTTCTTCTAACATTAGCATTAATTCCTCCTGCCAAACTAGCAATTCGAAAGCATGCAAATGTGAGTAGAGAAATAGGTACCACTTCAGTGAGAAAGTAACAGCATTCAGTGTAACAGTACGCGTAAGTAAGTAAGTAAGTAAGTAAGTAAGTAAGTAAGTAAGTAAGTAAGTAAGTAAATAAGTAAGTAATCAGCTAATCCCCTACTTTGGACACCCAACCAGTGAGAAAGTTTTCTGATCTGGATCAAGCTGTTTTCTGAAGAAGGAAATCTGGAGACAGAAGGAAAAGGCAAAACCAAATTAACTGTGCTCATGTAATTCCTAAGCCAAAATGGAACAAATATTATGACTTACCCAATGTATATAAGCCAAGCTAAAACGGTCTGATGCCATACGTGCATTTTTAAAACACAGAATATCTGAAGACTTGTTTGTAATCCCAACAACATGTTTACATGTATTGCAGCTTTTCAGATATAGACTCCTTTATCCATTGAAGTAGAGCATTTACATCTGACTATTCCCAGCTCCTCATGAGAAATCAGGAAATCGAAGACATTCAGCAACATGCTGGCCCATCTGAAAATGCGATTAATTTGCTTCCCTAGTTCCTCCTATGGGAAATTTCTTTGATAAGAGAGCTGGTCAGAAAGCAACAAGAATCTCATTGTGGCCTGACAAAGCTCTTCCAGGGGCCAGGAATTCCAAACACAAAACACATCTTGGGGGTGGGGGGGTGGGGGGGGCACATGCACACATCTTTCTGTCTGTCTGTCTGTCTGTCTGTCTATCATCTATCTATCTACAGTATCATCTATCATCTAGCTAGCTAGCTATCATCTATCTCTATCATCATCTATGTATCTCTATCATCTATCTATATCTATCATCTATCTATCTATCTCTATCATCATCTATGTATCTCTATCATCTATCATCTATCTATATCATCTATCTATCATCTATATCTATCATCTATCTATCATCTAGCTAGCTAGCTATCATCTATCTATCTATGTATCTATGTATCTATGTATCTATGTATCTATGTATCTATGTATCATCTATGTATCATCTATCAATCTATCACCTATCTACCGTATTTTTCAGAATATAAGACGCACCGGACTATAAGACGCACCTACCTTTTTTGGTGAGGAAAAGAAGAAAAAGAAATCTCCCTCTGCCTCTGAGCAATTTTGCCTCCTTGCAGCAAACAGCAAACAGCCTGCTTTGCTTTCATTTTCGGCATAGCTTGATTAGCACAAGGGGAAAAAAAATCTGCTCCAGCAATTTACCTCCTTGCAGCAAGCAGCAGAGCCCTGAGCAAAACAGCTGAGAGCAAATCAGCTGAGAGTCAGGAGGCTGATCCAATCAACTTGTGCTAATTAGGCTGTGCTGAAGCTGAAAGGAGCTGTTTTTTTCCTGCTGTTTGCTTGCAA